TGTGAAATGATTAAATATGTGATTAATACAACAGAAAACCTCTGGTTTGGTCAGAGTATTTAAAGGCGTTTGTGCACTTCCTGGAACGCTTCATACGCCAAGGAAAACAGCAACAAGCGACCCACCGACGAGTCCGTCTACGGACCGACCAAAAGGACCGGCTATTTTTTCTGTTTCTTGAACAGAGGCAGTCTAAAGGTCAGCGGTAGGCTCAGTGTCACACTGTTTCATCAGCGACTTACATAAAAATGTTTCTGCTGGATGGAGAGAACAAAGCTTACAAAGTTAAGCGAATGGTTCTTGCTTCCAGCTGCAGCACTGTGACACTCTGTTGGCATAGCTACAAGATGATGTGTACAGTATAAAGCACCTCGACTGTTGTTGGGATTTATTGCCATTTAAATAAAACTGGTATCCAGTAAGAACCAAACCTGAAGCAGGAACTTCAGACACATTTATGGCTGCAGTTTTCTACTGCTGCCACTAGATGCTGCTCAAGCTCTGTCAAGGTTAGTTACAGTGGCCCAAAATCCACATTCATCAATCATGTGCTTCCTTTTAAAATGAACACGTCTCTTGAAAACCGCAGGAAGGACTCGTGTAATGATATCAGCTCACATAAGCACACTGATGTGACACTACTGTACTGTACTGTGCTTACTGAGGGAACATGCTCATCAGCATTTAGCATTAGTGGAGTCTGTGTTTACCCACAATCCACAGGAGTAATGCTGGAGTACATAATGCTGTGTGGTACTCATGGCTGCCCGTTAGGCAGATTATATTAGCAGCACCTGACCCGACATCAAGCATATAAAAAAATCCTAGAAAATGTCATAAAATCAATGAGGGATTAAAAATCTGACTGACATCAAGTTGCACTTTAGAACTGGTTGCTCCAAGTACAGACGGCTTTTCCATCACAGCAAGGATAATAAGTTCAAGTACTGGGTCACCCTCTCTGAACCTTTGAAGTCAGCCGTTTGAAGTCTGACAGCCACAGCTGCATAAAATCGAGCCGTAACCACGTGTTATAACCGTGCATCTGTCAGAGAGTGGGCCGTACTGTAACAGGACGCCACAGCTGCAACGATCAGTCGTCAGATTTCTCCCTATATCAACAGGAAGTGGATCACAGAGTGACGCAGGCCCCACCCACCCCCCTATTCAGTTTTATTTATACAGCACCAAATCCCAACAGCCGCCTCGCTTTGTAACACAATCAGCACAAAACGGTGTGTATGTGCACGGGGGCTGCGCATAATGGTCCTTTAAAAATCCCTGAAACCAGAAACTAACCTTATAATTGGTTTTAAGAGGATCAGCAGAGTCTTGATGAACATGGTGGGATGGACGATGTACAGGGCCTTGATGTTCTTCTTGTACCTGCAAACACATCACATGTTCTCACAAGGTGTGCTAACACACGTTTGATACAACGATTACAAGAGCATACACAGAAACGTGACAGCATCTGTGGAATCTGCTGTCCACAGGTTACACAGGCAACTGAATCCTGTGCTGCCAGCGATGAGCTGGTGAAAATAATGCGAGGACATGTAACTGGAGACCTGCTTTTATCTTTATCAGCCAAACTGAATGGCTGTGTGGGTGTGCTCGCCGCTGCTGTGCAAAGTGCAAATGAACTGGGTGAAAGTGATTAAAGACAAAAGCAGGGCTCAGCTCCTTCGCTATTTTGAATAGTGGGAACATGGCTGAAGGCATCCGCACATGTTACTGTAACTGTGCAGTTTATGAAACACCGCACACAGTATTTGTTTCCACTGCATTCAAGAGAAAAACCAGTACCATATCAGTGGATGCACACTGTGCACCTCTGCTTAAATACAGCAGTGAGGGGAAACAAACGGTCAGAGCTTCTCACGTGTGCAGCACGGCTCCTTTCTCCTCGACTCGTCCTGTCTGTACTTCCTCTGTGGACTATGGTGCTCACAGGAAGTACAGAGAAATTACTTTCTTACAAAAAATGACTCCCTGTTTTTCTTCATTTGTTCTGTTGAAAGAGGAGAACGCTGGCACAAGTCTAACCTTAGTAACATTTAAAAAGAAAAGAAAGGTTTTTATGCAAAGTCATGATGTTTAAAACATCCAGTGTTGGAAGTGGACGGTGCCAGCCTGAAGGCTTTGGGATAAGTTTACCCTGGTGTGGAATTTTGATGCATCCGGTACAGGCAGAGGTTAGTCTGCAGAAGCCATTGATCCGGTTAATAAATGCAAAGAGCAGCAGTAGGACCAGCTGTAAACAGGTATAATATGATAAGTGAGATGTGCAGTGATGTGTTGGAGATTACTTTCTGTCAAACTCCCTGTATGCATCCCGCACCCAGCTGAGGGACATTTTGTTTTCACTGGTCATCCCGTGGTGAAAGTAGATCACAGTGTAGTCACTCTCCACATACTGATCCAGGGTTCCTTTGAGATACCTGAAAAACATGAGCAAGTCTTTGTAAACGCAGAAATATCTTTACCTGCTCAAATAACGTTGTTGGTTAGCAACTACTGCACCTGAGGGCTTCGCATCAACTATTTCCATACCAGATGAAAGAGTGAATCTCTTCACGCTGTCCCTACAGGAAGGAGCCTTCACAACATTTTCTAAAAACTGCAGCCTTACGTTCACCGCATCACTCGTTACACCCAAACACAGCAAAGACAGACACAGCCATGCCTTCTCCATTCATTCCAATCATGATTATCTGGGGCAGTGGTGAATACACCATTTCATAACATGATTACTCCCCGACTGTGGCAACATCAGGCAGTTATTACAGTCTTTAAAATAACCTTTAAAACATATTTTTTCAAGACCACAATCACCTCCATCACAGTCTGCTCTTTGTAAAAGCAACCAGTCTGTCAGCAGGAAGGCGAGAGTGGGCGGGGCAGACCAGGTCAGACACTCGTACACCTCAGAGGCCCCACAGTGGAAGCTACAGGTAGAACAATGGTGACCACCGACCAACACTTCCAGCACCACTGACACCTGACTGCTCAGCCACGGCTCGAATGCTTGCTCTGCGGATCCTTCAGCAGCAGCTGTCGGTCTTTGGGACTAATCTTCTCTCAGTGTCACTGATGCAAATCTTGTTCTTAACATTAATGGATCGCATTTATACAGCGCTTTTCAAGAACCTCAAAGCGCTGTACAATGCCACTATTCATTCACTCTCACATTCACACACAGGTGGAGGCAGCTACACTTCCTGTCTTTAGATACAGCGTGATGACCAAAGACCACCACTTCTCCTTACATCGTGTCACATGACAAAAACGCTGGCAAAGCCTAAAGGTTTGCGGTCACTACTTACATCAGCAGCTTATGATGGTCCAGCTGGTGCTGCGGCGGCATCCTGCAGGCATTAAACACGATCACCTTCCTGCCAAAGTTGTCATCACCTACGGACGCAGACATGGACTCGCGTTACTTCCACTACAAGATTTTACTTTTACAAAAACATATATTTCCAGACTGAAAGGTCAGCTGTGACTGAAGAACCGACCGGCCACTTCGATGATCTGATGTCTGGCAATGTCATAGAAAGGGTGGTCCCAGGGCAGGTGTGGAGAGCTGGCGTCAAACTGCTGGGAAACATCTGTCTCTGAAACACACACACAGTTAATACAAGACAACAATCACAGCATTACATCACCATGAAGTCCTTCATATGTAAATGTGTTTGCATGTAACATTTTAAGATTAACCCCAGCCGCTCAGAGCTCTTACAATCCTTCGTTTGAAACATGGCATCATCAGCAGGTGTGGACAGACATCCCTCTCACCTGACTTGCTGAGGAAAGACTCGTCAGCGGGCCACTGCTGGTCCTCTATGGTAGTCAGCTTCAGCTGTCCTAGCTGCGCCGTTGCAGAGTCGTCGCCCACATCTACCAGCAGTTCTGAAGACATCGCACACACGTGCACTCTCACATACACACAGACGGCACAGCGATGTCTTTCTTCAGCTCACTCAAACATACACGCACAAGCTGCAAGAGACAAAAACGCTTCAGGTCAGCACATCTCAGCCAAACTGTGTTTGAACCTGATGCTGTGACATTATATAAAACAGACCCAGATCAAATCAAACATTTCTGCACAACTGAAGCAACATGAAGTCACTTCCGTGAAGTTTCTAAGAAACACGAGACATTTGAACTTCCACAGAATACGCCGTCCCTTTATCACACTCACTGTTACCCAACTCGACTGAGTTTAAAAGATGAAAGAATGAAATCCATTAGTGATTGATGCTGCTGCAGTGGGTGACATGCTGCATCAGCACCATCTAAATAACATCAGACAACAGCAGTAATCTTCAGGCTAATGCTGCGCGATCCCTTTCTCACAGCCTCCAATTATTCCGATCACACCTCCAGAAATAAAGAGTGCACACAGTTACACAGAACATCTTAGCGATGCTGAGGTGGTCGTACAGTTTCCTTTGGCTTATTAGATCTGCTTCAGCCAAGTGACGTTAACCAAGGACAAACCGTAAGCAAAGACTACTATAGATCTGCACTGCAGAGTAACAACTAACTTCTTCAGCCCTATAGAAACATACCACAAACTGCAGCATGACGAATGCATGAAAGACAAGAAAAACGACATAATGTGTGCTGACATGAATCGCCCAACATCAACTTGATCAACTCGTCTGAGCTGACGATGGACAAGAATGTACAGCATCCTGTGCAGGAAGACACCAAACTCACCAACACCTGCATTATATCAGGAGATCTCACAACTGTGTGAGTTTCACCTCACGCAACCAATGAATGAAGTACTTTAGATTTTGCATCTTGATAAATAAATACAAGGTGAAAAAACAACTTGTTTGTCTGCAAAGATGAAGTTACAGGTAGCTGTGGCAGAGTGTAAAGACGAAAGCAGCGCTGATATGATTTCATTTTGTGTAAAGCTTTGGTACTTTTTTACTTCCAGGAGGTGCACTGAGTTTAGCTGGCGAGCTGTCCAGGGTGTACCCCGATTCTCTCGCCATGGTAACTAAGGTGGGCTCCAGATGTTTTATTCATATAAATAAAACATCCGCTGGCATATTGACTGATGCACCAACCTCTCCCAGTGACAGCTCCCACAGCTGAAGGAGATGTTAATGAGAAAAATAGACCACTCACCACAGGTACGTGATACAAAGAGCCTGTGGGATTTTATTGTCACTGGTGTGCCAACCCTCAGTGGACTTTTGTTACTCTGAGTAGTTTTAGTTCAAGAAAAATGAAGACACCTTTTCCCCCTCAGGAGCTTTGGCCATGCTCCAGGTGGTGACTTACCATCAGTTCCTGCATGCTTTCTGTTTCTGGAGCTATGCATCTGTGTACAAGAACAGTATCAGGGACACATTTTTTGAGATTTTTAAAAATCTGTTTGATTTCTTTTTCTAACCTTCATTTCACCAGGAAGTAAAAGCTGAGATTCTCTTCTGAGAGAGTTTCTTAGTGTGGCTAGGGTTAACCCAGCAGGCAGTTTCACTGGTGACAAACCAGAAAAGCTCAGGCCTGAACCCGAGTAACCAGTGAGCCTCACAGGAAGCAGCTTTTTGCTGAATGTCCTGAACATCATTTGCTGAGTTTTCTTCTCAAGCAAGAAGAAAGCGATGAAAAGAATAACTCTGACGCTGAACAGTGGCCTGAGATGTGCAGCAGCAGAGAGACTGATTAGTCTCAGAGTGCCACCACAGTTTGGTCCTGCTTTTTGTTCTTTTAGCTTCAGCAAACAGAAAAAAAGCTTTATATCTGATCTATCTGAAGAAAGGATTCCTCAGTCTGATGACTTTCAAATGGAGCTCCAACAATAAGGTTCAAACACAGCATGAGCCACTTCCTCAGTTTAATGACTGCATCACTCCTCTCCTCTCTTATTAACTGCCCATATTTTCTACATGCTTCCTTTTTATCTACCATCCCCCACCTATTTACTCCACTCTTACTCTCATGCCCACACACGTACACACAGCTGTGATGTTATGCTAGCTGACAGCATGTAGCTTTAAATAAACATCGCTACTAACCAGCAGACACAGTCGGCCAATTGCTGCAGCCAAACACACACACAGACAAACTGAGTGAAAAGCAACTGTTTGCACACTATCTGCATGTCAGTCAGTAACCATGCAGCTGTCGGGAGGATGTTGGTTAACATTTATGATGATGTGAACAGTAACAGGTTCCTCATTTCCTTTCTCTTCATTCAGTTCCTAAACTGAACAGACCAATGGAGGTCACAGCAGTGGGTCAGGGGCACAAACCCTGACTGTGAGTTTATTTCTATGACAAAGTTTCACAGGTTACATTCCTACTGAAACAGATAAGCTCGCTCCAGGCACTTCAGGTCTGACAGCTCTGGATTCAAAATGTTTACTTTCGTGGCATTCAGTCCTATTGTCTGCACTGGATGATCTGTTGCTATTTGCCTAATTTATTGAGCCTTTTTGGTTTTTTAAGCTGAGAAGCACTGAAAAGATGTAATGCTAAAGTTTCAGGATCATCACTCTGATGGTGGAGGAGATGCCCA